GTTACCCATCAGGATATCGGGCTTTACGAGTGCTCTGTTCAGACCTTCCCTCGGGGACCCTGGACCCGGCACATTCAGGTGGAGGATTTAGGTAAATATGGCAGAAAGCGTCAGAGCGCATGTTCTGAGCTGTCTAGTATCATTCCCACCTCCCCCGCTTAGTGATTAAAAATGGTGAAATATGAAACCTAGAAAGGTGCCATACTGTAGTTTCCATCACATATTTTTAGATTCCTTTCTTTCGCTTACAGATGAGCCACCGGAGGAAGACCCCACAGAGCCCACTCCCACACAGGAGGCCGTTTCAAACGAAAAGCTGCTAGTAGAGCAGAACAGCAACCTGACCATCAGATGTAACTATCAGCATAATGGCACCGTTAACCAGGTCATATTGGAGAGGATGCTGCACGGCCAGTCGTGGACCATTGTTGGAGTGTGCAAGAAGGTGGAGGAAGGCCTGGTGGCGGAGGACTACAGCGACAGGGGCCGGGTCAGCTGTGAAGACAGCCTGGATATGAGTCTGCACTTGACTGACGTGACACAGGAAGACAATGGTTTCTACCGCTGTACTTTTAACACCGATGCAGGACAGCAAACTACCACCGTGCAGCTCACCACTGTGGCTTCAGGTACGAAGCAGGCACCATGAAGTTGAAGACATGCATACATTCAGCTGTGTGTGTGTCTGTGATTGTTTAAATTAGTTGTGAATTGACATTAAGAAGTGGATGGAAGTAAATAAGGCCAGCGATGATAATGAAATGAAAGAAAACAAAGCATGTGATGTCACTCGCACATTCACAGCTGCTCAGTGCGCTGAAGCCACAGAGGTTTGTGGCTAAAAGTCCGAGCTTTTTCACAGCGTATCTGAAAAAGCACTGGTTGCACCATATGTGTGTCATGGAACAAATTGAAAACACTAATCAGACACTGCTGTATGACATAGAATTATTCAGAAAACTAATTTTCACACTGTTTTGTTCCCTGTTTGATTTTTGTTTCTTCTGTTTTTCTCACTCCTACACATAACCAGGTTGGTTCAGCCTGTCGTTATACATGATGTACATTTACATCGGGGTTGGAGCTGCTGGACTCTGTCTACTTATTGCCATCATCATAGCAGTAATGAGGCACAGGTAAGATATCAGCAAAGTAAAGTAAGGGGTGCTCTGTCAATAAACACAGATAAGTACGGAGGGAACACCGATGGTTCAGCTCATAGTGTGATAACGCTGACACACTGATGTTTAGCAGGGAGCATGCTTCCATCTCAAGCTCCATACATGCCTATCAAATGTCACTCTTTAATTGTTTAAACCTGTGCTCCTTGAAGAAATGTGTTCATAAGAAAATATCATTACTATCTTGGAAATCTTCTGATGCAGCGCAGTTAAGTTTGTTTTTTTTGAACAGTAATGAAAATCCTTTTTGTCTGAAAACCCTGCAGAAAGAGGAACAAGAGAAAGGAGTACAGAGTGAAACTGCACCCATCCCAGAGACAGGTAGGCATCGCCACGTTCATTTTATCTACTCTCCTCTTTACTCTCGACACCTTTAAGGCACTCCCGTACCTTCTCATCAGACTTGCACTTAATTACAAAACCATCACCCTTTACAGCTAATCTCAGCTAATGGCACCGCCCACTCATTTAACTAATGCTAATTAACTTCAATGTTAACTGAAAGTGTCTTTGAAGACAAGCAGCTTGTTAAAATGTTATTACAGTATCGATGTGCTGAGTTTGATTATTTGATGTAAATAAATACACAAGCTCTTTAATAATTAGCTGATCTTTTTACACATTTTTGATATAATATGAATGTGTTATTTATTAGCGTGAGCCCATATTGGTGGGAAAAGTAACTACATTTTGCCAAGCTGCTTCACCTCTACTGCCTGTTTTGGTGTAATGGCTTAAAAAGCATTAACATTCACTTCCTCACATCCTCACAGCCAAACTTCTATGAGAACATCCCCATGTGTCCCAGGATAAAGAAGTCCAGACAGATCAGAAACTGTCCCGTTTATGCCAACGTACAGACCGTCCGATCCATGAAAACCACATCGCACCAACGACAGTGTAATAAATAAACACACGCACGAACGCGAGGTACTGGATGATGTCGATCTGTCACAGCTTTGTGTGCGTGCGCCTTCCAGCCTTTCACAAACAAAGCGCATCGAAGTTTATCTGAGAAAAAAGAAGAAATCCACCTGTGTTGACATGAACAAATAATTTATTTGATATCTTGTAATTATATGTGTGGATCACACTGACACTGATTAGCATTCACGCCGTGGTTTCAAATGAGCTAACAAGTTGGTGCTTATCTGCGAGTCAGAACGCTGACAGGGGCTGTTTGGGTCCAGCCTTGCTCGCTCTAATTAAATGTAGTATGTACTGCATAATTACTGTTGAGGAAATATTTGTTTTGGCCATAACAGTATTTGACAGTTACAATCACGCAGAAGACAAGACAAAGGGCCGTGTAATCGTTCTTTTTACTTCTCTAACCCCCGAGTAAAACGACTGACAAAAGCCTTTGTAATTGCCCTCCTTTTTACTTTCATCCCTCCTGGTTTCCATTCAGGGATTGACAATGGTGTCTAATCATCTAACGGAAGAGAAAAGCAGTCACTCAGCTCTGTACCATCACTTGAGACCGTTACTTACCCCAACGGGCTCTGTGTCTGGGATGGCTGCATTCTAGTTACATCACACTCTGCGCGCAGGAGCTAAGCTCTAATTAGCTAATCCTGTGCTTACTTTGTAGCTGCTCAGACTTTGTGTGCCTGCTGTTTATTGATGAGTGTTTGTTCCTGTCGTTGTTCTCCTGTTGTAAAAATGATTTTATGATAAGCTGTCAAAAGTTTTCCAAGCTGTATTTATTCTTTTGTTTCCAGAGTTTTTCCGAGCTTGCTTTCGTAAATCAATATTTAGGGTTTATGATGCTGTAGTACTGTTAAGCCGTGTGCTGTTTGTGTAATCTAATTCATTTATCTCCATAGAAGTGGAGGCAGTGGCAGAGGCAGTAATGGATATGCGGGCTATTCCGCTAAGAACAAGACAAATGTGGAGCATAAAGGGACAATATAATCAGTTTGTTTTTTGCTTTCAATTCGCTTCCAATTCAAGAATCTGCAGCTGTACTTTCTGGGATGGCACTAAAGATGACGCGAGCGTGACCAACCATACTGAAACTGATGTGTGTGACTGTAAACGATTTCATGTGGTACGAATAAAACTGTGTCACTGCCTCTGCTTCCTTTTGTTTTCCTGTGTTAGGTGTAGTTGAGTTTGTAGACTAATTGGACAGAATCATCGATGACTGTAGTCGTTTCTAAGAAAGCAAATCATTTCCTGTAACCCACAAAGAGGTACCAGGTGACACGTGGGCAAAAGATGAGCCGTGATGATCTAAAAAGGAAAGCAGCCCGCATAAGAATCCAGCATTTTGCAAAGCGGCGAGTGACTGCAGAGTCTGTTCGATTTCATCAGACAATTTGCGAGATGTCTGCAAATTTGAACGCCTGTATATAATTTACTGCAGGTGGATTTTTCTTTCCCGTTGGTGACATTTTCATTGTAATCTGTCAAATTTAGGTTCTAAATAAAATTTGTAACTTTGGTGTCTAACCTTTTGCTTACTTTTTAGTGTTGGCTCTCTGAAAAAGAAACACAAAACGATCTGTCAAACCACCATATGAAACAGCCAAGATAAGAAGTGTGCCGTACATCTGTTTGTGAACCAAAATGACAGATGCAAAGAATGAGGTGTTTGCTTCTATCTGAAACCTCAGCTTGAAAGCGTAAGTCAAAGAAGAGTGTGTTAACCACCACCCGCAAAGCCACTAATGATCTGAAGAGGCGCTTTCTGGCTTTTAGCACGGCATGCACAGAAACAATGTTAAAAAGTAGAGTAAGGGGCTCGTGTTTTTCATCTGAACGAAACTGCAGAAAGTGTGAAAACACTGTTTTTGTTCATCTCTCACTGTGGGGTAATTTTCGCTCTTCATTATAAAGAAGGCATTTGTTTATGGACGGCTAGTTTAAGGTCCCAACACAGCATTTCAACCAGGTTGAGGACTTTGACTCGGCCTTTGCAACATGTTGATTTGTTACTTTTTCCACCATTGTGTTGTAGATTTGCTGCTGTAGTTGGGATCATTGTCCTGTTGCATGACCTAGTTTGTCCAACTGTCAGACAGATGGCCTCACATTTGACTCTACACTCTTTGCTATACAGAAGAGTTCATAGTTGACTCAAAACGAGCCTAAATCATTAGCCCTCCACTGCGTCTGACAGTTGGTATGAGGTGTGCTGATATGCTGGTCTCATCTGTCCACAGTCCTTCGGCTTGTTTAGATCCAAGCTTGCTGTGCTGCCATGCTCCTTTTAAACAGGAGAGGCTTTCTTCTGGCATCCCTTCTAAACAAGCCACACATCCGTCTTGTTGGAATGAACTTTAACATTTAATGTATAAACTGAGGTCTGTAGAGTCTGAGAGGTAGCTCTTGGGTGCAGTGTCAGTGAGCGCTGCACAGCCTGACCTCGGGGTGAATTTGCTGGGACATGCAGTCTTGTTGTGAATCATCTTTCTCGCTGCAGAATCATGGACTTTAAATTGTCTGGAAAAAAAAAAATTTCCGCACGCTGCTTCTGAATTTGGCTCAGCCATTATCGAATGAATAACAACACATATGCCAGGGTAACATGCAGTGCCTTCTGATTCATCTGAGGTTGCATTTACCCGAATTTAAGACCTGTTATGTACCACCTGATTTTTTTTAATCCCTCCTACGTAAAACCTTAGAACTGAAAGAGGGGGTGCTTTCTTTTTCACATGACTGTACTCCTCTTACTTTCCCCATTACAATATTGTTTTCCCCTAAAGCTTAACTAAAGCGTAAAGAATAAAAAGTAAAAGAATGCTACATGTACCTAATGAGAATCCTGATGGCATAAAGGGCAAAAAAAATCTGATACATGGCAGAACATTGAATTTATTACCTTTTTTTTTTTAATCATCAAAAACATTACATATGTACATTTAGTGAAAACTGTAGGCCTACACTCATGTATTAAAAGTGCTATTATAATCTATGAGAACAAAACATGGCAGACACAAACACAATCATATAGTAATGATAACAACTTTTCATGACACTTCTACAAACAAGTGAATAGCTACAGTGAACGAAAATAAAACGGCAAATGACAAACACAATCAACTAGAAGTTTCTCCAGTCCTCTCAGTACAGCTGCCAGTGCAATGGAACTACTATACTGGAGCTAAGACTCAACTCAGTTATACAACAGCTTAGTTAAATGTGGCCAGCAACTGTATCAGTGGACTCTGTGATGCAGGCTAACAATCATCTGTGGCTTAAATTAATAAAATTAATTACATGATTGCGGTTTTTCTTTTTTTAATATAATATTGTGCACAAAATAAAGTGACGACAGCGAAACACAAAATAAGCGCTTGTACTTTAGAAACTGTTCAAATGTAAAACCAAGACAAAAGAGCATCAGTGCCAAAAAACAAACAACAAAAACACAACCCACCTTTAAAAATGATTACATTTGACACTGAGAGACTCCCATGTTGCCTAAAACTGATTGTCATTGGAAACTTTTGTGATTAACCCACAAAATGCTGTAATTTCAGTATTGGAGAATGAACAAGAAAAAAAAAGTCATAATTTTGATGCATGAAAAACACCACCACAAATATTTAGAGATGAATTCGGGTCTAGTGATTGCCACCCACGGCTAACAGGTTATACTCGGTATTGATGCTGTTACATGGCATTTCACAGCCGGGAAAAAAGGAAATGTGGCAAAGCGGTTCTGAAGATTCCAAGTAAACTTTCCGGTCAGCGATGGTAAACTCAAAACCCAAAGACGTTGCTTTGGTTAGATCTCACAATCCACGGTCTGTGTGTCGGAAGGCACTTCTTACTCAAGGAGGATGATGCAGAAACCATAATCACAGCAGTGTTTCCGGATGGAAAAAGGGGGCTGCAGGGAACTAGCAGGGGTAGTTGTTAGGCTGCTGGGTTTGAAACTGTGTGGGCGTTTTTTTTGTTTTTGTCTTCTTTAAAAGAGTAGATCTGTTTCCAAAGCCATCAGCCAATCACAAAGCCTGGGAAAAAAAACATTAGCCTGACTGTTTCAAACTTGTTACATTGTTTCATTTCCTCTGTACCAAAAAAAAAACCCATGAAAAAAGAAATAATGTGCTGATGCACAAAATCAGTTTCCTTCATAGAGCTAAGAGTGGGTTTGCTTGTTTCAGTTCAGTTTTTATTGTCGGAGAATGTTTCACTGTAGTTTAGGGTACATTTGTTTCGGTTGGACCTCTAGTCTTTTTAATTACCAGTGTGTGTCGGGAATATGTGAAAGGCAAGATTTAAGAAAAATCGACATACGTATAACAAAACCCCATTTTTTGAAGGCAGCTGTTCACCATCATGTAGCCATTCAAAGTCTCAATAAACATATCCATCAAAGCTTTTACTGAACTAACAAATAGTAAAACTATGAGTTCACAAAACCATTTCAGCTACTTTTAATTCTTTTCAAAAGTCTAGTTTTTATCATTATTTTAGCTAACTTTGTTTTGGTTAAAAATGTTGGTATCACGTTGTCTCAACTTCAAACAGACTTTTATAAGCTTTGGACAAATATACTGAAGTTGGAAGATTGATTTCTGAGCTTGTGAAATGGGAGTGCCAGACAGTAGAGTAACTTTATAACAAAGTATATGTTCTCAAAGAAATGCACTGATTTTAATCTATTTTCCCCAAAATTAAACTGTGTTATTAAGTTGAATGAAAAGTAGTTATGATGTTTAATTGCCACAGAGCACATCCTGGACCCAAAATGCCAATATCACCTCTGCTCTGCGTAGCTTACTCCCTCAGGTCGCTCTCTTTACACCTTTTTGCAAATGAACCAGTCCTCAGAGGAACCGGACGACGACGTGCTTGGTGGCTATTAAAATCGAATTGCTCTGGTGAAAAGGTAAGGTTGGCAGTTTTAAAGCAGATGCTGTGCGAAGGTTACATTGGATCATTTCTGACATGACGGTCCATTACTACATCCTTCAAGCACATATCTGAATGACTATTTCCCTTTGCCAGTTGTATTCATTCAGGACTTTAGCTGATCCATTACTGGCGTCAGCATCGAGCGTCTTTCGTGTAAGGCATTGATCAGTTTCACATTCTTGAGAAGAAAAAAAAAAGGTCAAAGCAGCGAGTGTGGGAGTATTTTGAGTCAAAACTGGTGGAATTTCTCATGAATTGGTTGCTGAGGCTGCACATCAATGGAGCGAGCCTGATGGCATTTCAGGAGTTTTGTAATAAAAGTTGACACTGGTTTACAGCGGGCTGTGGTGTGTTAGTAGCTTTTAGGTTTTGTAAGGTATGATGTAGTGCTTTAAAACAGGGATGGGAAGAATCATGCTGGCTTTAAAAGGATAATGACAACATAAAACACTTAAAAACGACAGTTAAAGGATTTTTTTCTTCCTTTTGGTACAATCTTTGAAGCTACTTCGGCTGTCGCACGTCGCACAAAAAAATAGGTACAATCCTCCTCGAGATCATTTTTTCGCATACCGATCGCTCTACAGTTGACACTACTGTCTGTAAGTTATCACCATAAAATGATATATTACACATGTCGCTATACATATTTCTACATCCTCTCTAAAGCAGTGGGTAAAGTGTTCAGTCCAGTGTCGATGGAGCAATTCTCTGTCATTGAAGGGGTCTCAGGCTGCAACTAGATTCACAGCCACTAGAGGGCGACGGCGCCTCTCGCTGGTGCTGGCTCTCCTCCTGTTCAGGCTCATCAGACAGAAAGCTGGGGAAGGTCTGTGCTCTCGGGATGAAAGTCATCATCAGGCCCGTTCCTTTGAGAGGGAGAAAGAAAAGCTTCAAGTGAGCACTTTTTTTTTCCTCTCTATTTCCTCTTTTTTGTTAAGAGGAGTAAAATTAGCCGATCTGCTTCATTTATCTGGAACTCCACTGCAACACAGTATTGTTTCTTAAACTATATAGTCATAGTGCAACTGTTGCTTAGCTACTGTCCATGGAAATATCTTTATGGAGATTAAAGAACGATGCTTCTCAATTTTGCTAAAACAATCTTTTAAAGCCCTTTGATGAAGGTGAAGGTCCTTTTCAGATATACAAAATCTATAAAGCCTAACAGGTATAATAGTAACAGATGTGACATAAAAGCAACCTTTCATCTCAGATAAACAACTTCATTCGGCCCTCTCATCCTCCTCGACTGCTGTCGTCTCTCTCTGTCCCCTGCCATCTCCCTCTCCACCTTAATTTAAATTAACTGGCCCAATTTGTTGTGCAGTTTGTGTTGGTAAAATGCACTGAAAGTGAGTAATGGATACTTGTGGGTGGAGTGCTGTTCTTGTGCAACCGCGGGGCCATTAATAATATATTAGAATGCGGTTTGGAGACGTGCACACGGAGGTAGGTTGGGGATAAAGTGGCTGGCAAGCTGCTGATCATGCACCAAACAAGGAGGAAGTGGCCAATGATCAATATTGCAGGAGGTGCGAAACCTAACACAACGCTGTAATCAACTCTAACCTACAGCATACACGGGGCCAGCTGGGAGAAGTTGCTGCTGTCAATATTTTTCAGGCATTTCAGATTCACCTATGCAGGCTAATTGAAATTTGATTAACAAATTAAAATTTGATTGTTCTTTTAATATTCCCAAGGGGCATGGATAAAGTCGTGATTCTTACAACTGTTATTGGTGCTGAAATGCTTCTTAGCAGATATGACTTTAAGCTGTGCAAACCATTTGTTATACAGAGAACACACACATACCAGAACCCACGCGCACAGCCAGCAGCACCAGATATCATGGTACCCAAAGGGAACTGGGATCAGACACGCTGCCACTTCACCACAACGCGGAATATAAAACATGACCCAGTCAACCTGGCAATCAATGTCAATTGTGAGCGTACATCAGTACCACAGAGACAGAAGTCTTGTTTTAAAAAAATGGAGGCATGTAAAAAAGAAAAGATGCACAAGTTAAAGAAAGATACTGAGAAGGAAAAACACAGAAAAGGCATTTTTCCTGTGCGAGTTCAGGGAACAGCTTGCAGGAGGAAGCACAGAGGGGCCTGTGTGGGTGTGAGGATGAGACCAACACAGCATCAGCCATAACAGGTGAGTCATACATACACACCTCTGTCTGCTAGTCTTTCCTTTCCACCACTCCCTGAAATGAAGGAAAAGAATAGCATAAGGCTCTAGCTTAAGGATTTAAATGTAACAGTGTCCATGCTGTAGGAAAAGGGGGGAAAAAACCCACTGCAAGTTTTAAAATGAGGGGGTGGAGGGGGGTGCACTTTGTCTTTCCTCAGCGTTGTACTTAATAGATTGCTGCAACGACTGGTGCGCAACCAGGCATATCCTTTTCACATCTTTGCCAAGACAATCCTTCTCCTCAACCAAGGCCAATTTAGACTGGGTGAGGGGAAAAAAAGGTGGGGGGCGGCAGGGAGCCCAGAGCAGACAGAGAGGGCAAAGTGGATCTCATCATCTCCTCAGTGGTAAACAGTGGTGTTTGTTGTGCGGTGCCAGACCCCTGACGAGAGCCACGCTTTCGTAAAGCAGACACTCTTACAAGATAAATAAATAAAATAATAATAATAAAAAGCACTGAGAGCGATGATGGTGTCAGCATCTCCTCTCTTCGTCTATCCCTGTGAGAAGCAGACAGTGATTTGTCAGTGCCTTTTCATTACCAGGGAAGGTCATGTCATTCTATCTGGCCTGGGGTGGCAGCTGCTGGGCCGGAGCAGACAGTACAGGCAGGGGAGGGCCCTCTCACACACTGACAGAATAGCAGAGCCGGATACAGAGGCAGCTATTCATGTGTGTGTGTGTGTGGACACATGCATGCACCTTTCTCCACCTTCTTTCCTTAAAGTGCAACAACGCAGATGGCATCCTAGAAACAGCTGTAACCAGAGAAACCCGGGCTGAACGTACCACAAACATGCACGGCTGCATCTCCTGGGCAGTAAAAAGCCGCTGGGGTAACGACAGGCTGTAAGTGATAAAATATCAATCTGATCCAGCCTAGAGACTAGGTCGCTAACTTAAGCTTTGATTCATATAATGTGCGGTGACGTCCACCAAGAAGAAAGAAACTAACTTTTACCTGCAATAAATTTTTCATGGGGTTCAGTTTTTGCACTTACTATACATCTACAATACTTCATGTTGCCTGTCGCAGATAAGACGGGGTTATCGTCTTGTCCCTTTGATACTTGCTACCTCTCGGAAAAAAATCCCCTCGCATCGCACCCGGCCGATCAAACTGGGTACAGCTCTCTATTTCATTAGAATTGCTAATGCTACATCACTAAACTACAGAGCACAATAAAATGCAGGCGTGAGAGAGAGAAAGACGGCGTGCAGGCGAAATATGCGCATGCACACAAAAATGGGAACACGCCAAAACACAAGCATCCCCGTCCCTTTCCTTCCCAGTATTAGAGTTGGTAATTGAACCATTTCCGACAGGTGTGGCGCCTCGCTTTTTTTCAACTCGGAAACTTTAAAGTGCACTTCCTCTGCATCAGCAAACTCAGAGGACACGGCAGTTTCACCGAAATCCAAAAGAGTGAATAACATTAGAGTAAAGAGAGTAAACCAGCGGTATAAACCATAACCTGTCTCAGTATGACGTATCTTGTGAAGATGAAAACACCAATCTAAGGTCATATTTAAAAAAGCTGAATGCTTTGATGGGGCTGGATTTAGTTGAAAACGGATGAAAAGCTCTCTTTCCTTTTAAACAAGATGCATTTTAGCATTATCTTTGTCAGTTACAGCAAACAAGGCTTTTGGGATGTGTTTTTGAGACAATTCCAGCTCAGTAAAAAGCAGATGTTAAATATATTTGAATAAAAGAGTGACACTACTTTTACTGCCAAGTCCACACATTTACTGACACAAAGAAATAAACAAATAGGTGAATAAACCTCAGCAGGGGGGGGGGGGACTGTGTTCCTTAATTATTCCACCGGACCCGCAGGGTATTTGAAAGCAGCCCGAGCATGACTCAGCAAATTGACTGTGCTGATTGGATATTCATCATGCACAGAGTGATACAGCCAGGAAGCAGACACAGCCAGCTGTATCATGGTCCAAGAATCTGACTTCCTACCTATATTAGGATCCAAATTATTATTCTGGGAGCTAATAGCATAATTATTAAAAAAAAGAAAAACTCACAACCTGCAGCCATGTCTACTGAGGGTGTTTAAATCTGTCTGTGTACTGAAAGACAGACTGTTTTGAGCTTCTAAGATATTTTTAGGCACCGATTTCAACTTAGTCTGATTTTTAAAAATATTGTTAATTAACAGTGATAACTACATAATGAGTCAGCTGCAATCTGGGAACCCATTGGCTATTGTCTGATGACTCAGTCCCTTGGAACGAGTGCCAGCATTTCAGAGCTTCTGGTGTACCCAGCAGATATCACAGCCAAGATATCTCGTCCATTGTTCATGAACGCAGATAATTCTTTAAAAAAAAAGAAGAAGCAAGAAACCCCCCAAAAGTTTCAAGATGTTATTATGGAAAATTGAACTGTTGCTTTGCTCTTCTGCATTCAGGGAAACAACAGGGTTGGTTCCTTGCATGCAATCAGAGTCTGATTACATGTTATATATATATGGATCATAAATCGTGTTCCGTATTTTGCATATTCATATTCAAACCTTTGTTTATAAAGACGCAACCAAGCTAAGCTGTGTGTTTAGCTGTTGAATAGATGGTTGAAAACAGATTACTCAAAGTAGTGGATGCCATGTCCGCTGCAGTGGCCTCTTTTAGTAAGAATGTTGTTAACAAATCAAAGACAGTTTTGTTCTGATCCCCCCATGAATGGATTTGGTGGCTCTGTAATCCTGTTGTGGGGCATTTTTCCAGCATGGTTTCTTCCAGGGGTCTCAAATCTGGAGTTCTTGTGCCCATCTCCATTTCTCTGATACGACTATGGTACCGAAGAACAGAATTTCTAAAAACATTTTCCTTTAATTCATCATCACTTAAAATGGTTCTTTCAATGGGGAAAAAAATGTGGATTTTTCACACTGATTTTGTTTTTTGTTACTAAAACGTGCGTTGCATTCTGGGTCTATCACTCAGTGCATTATTGTTTTAAATTTGCTGAACCTCAGTAACGCTGGATGTATACACATACATGTGTAGTACTGAGTCCATCTACTTATGGATTCCAAGTTCAAAAGGTCATGGAGGAAAACAGATGATTTATCAGTGGACAGACCTGTTTCCTTTACTGCTGCTGCTTATGCCTGAATTACACTCTATATATAGAGCCTATGATGTAGTCCACTGGTATCGCCGCTTTTATACCTGTCGTCGATAGCAACATGTGATTACATTTCTAGCTAGGTTTATATTTGGTCAAAGCGTGGGGTTTAAAGAGGGCATGCCTACATAAAAAAAAACGATTACCAGCACGCTTTATCAGTAACTAGAATTTAAACTAAACTGAAACCGGCCTTTTTATCATCACTTTTTCTATTCGACTGCTATATGTTACAAAAGTACAGGCTAGTTTTAATTTGATTCACTGGGACAAAGAGTGCAGTGACTGGTTTTTTTTTTTTTAAAGTGCTCAACATGTTAATAAATATTTTTTCCTGCACTTCAAAGTTTTTCCAGTTTTATTAGTAAAAAAACTCTTTTTTTGGTAAAATGATTTCATAGATAACAAATGACAAATTAAAGTTCCAAATAATCATAAATATTCCACTGGATGTGGTAAAGATTTAAATTATTTATCCCTGAATTATGGTTTGCAGCTTCATTCAGATTTTGGGGGTCAACAGTCGCTCCAAAATGTGTCTTGAGAGTAAATATTTTCAAGAGAGAAGGGTCAGTGCATCAAATCATTATGAAGCTGCTAAGCTTGAACACATTTATACCCAGCTATGTAGAGAGTGGACAGCGGGTGTGATGAGCATAAAGATGTTATGGCTTCACAGTTCTCAGATCTTAATCCAGCTGAACATTTACGGGCGATTCAGGAAAAATGATGTTCATTCCTCCAGCTGACTTCCAGAGACCTTCATGAGAGTCAGTGGGTCACCTAACAAATTACTTATACACTGTATGTTGATTTTTCCTTTAATTTGTTACCTGGCTGTAGCAATCAATTGTTAAAACCAGTTGAACAAATTTGGAACATGTCAATGAAAGGATGCTTTGACCTCCAGGGAGGTGCAGGCCTGCCAATAAGGAATCAATGCAATTAATGTGCGAGGCCGTCCTCATCCATGTCTTACAGCCATGTTAAGCGAATCGCCACCCCGCCCCGTCCGACATCCCAAACATCCCATGTCGCAACAGGACTTAAACTCCCGTCACTCCCCAGAACAACCTCGTTGTCCTCTTCGCCTGACGAGACCTCAAACGTCCTCAAACACACTGATGCATTCAATTTATTCATGGAAAGGGTGGAGAGATAATAGCAAAGCAGAATGTGCACGAGCAGGAGAAGGTGGAGGGTTGTTCCAAACGTGGACCGACATGCAGAGAAAGTGTGGGAGGACCAGTGGATATGCCAAGGTGATGGATGAGAGAGAAGCTCCTCTGCTCACCAGAGTTTGGAGAGGAAGAGTTTAAAAGGAGACTTTACAGTGACTGAGCTTATAAATAATGACCCCAAGGTGGAAGCTTCTCCGTTTAGTGTATATGAGTAAAAACATGTTGATGTTTGGAATGGAAGACTTGCGTTTTGCTTTTAAGCTTATCGGCCACAATTAAATGATAATGAAAAAAAGAGAAAAAAAACACCCCAGCCTTAGCTTTTCAAAAGAAAATTATGACGTCAGAGCGACTTTCATCTTAGCCTGGCTTTCTGTTTAGCTCTATCAGTGAAAGCCAAAAGGCCCATAATCCTCAGATAAGTCTACTAATCAACTAATACCACGGACAGAGCATAATCGCATCAGCTCACTAATCACCTTTCTGCCTCTGGTCTACATCTAGACATTAAACACACACACATACACACACTCTCTTACTCCTTCTGAAGTATACGTGTACATTAAGTGCACACAGAGGACAAACAGGGCTGAGCTTGGACGCATACGGACCACCTGCTGCATTATTAATGCACTCGGTTCGAGACGCTCTCGCTTACTCGCACACGTGCGCAAACACGAATGTGCTTTCTTTCACAAATCATTCTTGTCTTTTATACTGTAATTTAGATATGCTTGTGCGTCTCTGCTTTTAGTTATCAAAGAAAAAAGACATCCTCAGAGAGCTCAGAACATCAGTCAAATTCTTAGGAGGGTGTGAACGGGGATGGAAATCAAGAACAGGTTCCAAATAGTCAAATCCACCGGAAACCTCCAAGCTCGCCGATTCCTTTTTAATCAATGCCGCCGTGTTTTTCCGACAGCTGCGCATCCCAAAACAGTCACGTCAAACTCGTGGCAATGGAGTGAGTCACAAAGCCTTTTTTTCCTGCTGTGTTTCTAGACTGAGATAACACAACAGTTGGGTTCACACTGAAAACCTGCGTAGGCCTATTTTTTTTTTTTTCCAAGCACAGAATATTGAACAGGAATCAACTGAGAATGGGTGAATAATCAGATCCATATGTAGAATCAATCGAGTGTTCTCAATATTCAGGTGTGAGCCGCTCTCCTGGGCGTATGTGCACTGGGTTACATTTTAGCCTGTAGTAGATTTGCTTTAATGTTTGTACTGCATCGCCCAGCTTCTTCTTCTCCCGAGCCTCAGCTGGTCAGCCAGCCTGACATTATCCTGGAGGATACCTTCACAAACTCGAGAATTCATTTTCCGCACAATGACGGCGAGCCGTCCAATCCCCGAGGCGACAAAGAAGATCCAAATCGCGATGCCCCCCTTTCGCTTCAGTTCACCTTTTGATGTTTTCATGTTGGCATGCAGGGCCTTTTCATGCTATACATAGTGCAACGTGTTCTTCCCAAACAATTTAACCTTAGTTTAATTAGCACACAAAAGATTTTTCAGGTGCAGTACAGCATGAAGGAGCTTTGTGGCAACTTAAGGTGTGCAGTGATGTTCTTTTTTAAGCAACTTGCTCTGTTGCGTTCTGCCAAGGACACCGTGCAGTGTTTCCGCTTGATTTGCATACGGCAGATTCACAAAGTGGAACAGAGATGTTAACCTAAAGCCTTTTTTGGGCTTCTTTTTTTAAGTCTCTGAGCTTTTGAAGTTATCTATTTAGGCATCCACTTCTAGAGAGAAGCTAAAGAGCTAAATTATATCCATTTGTACTGATTTTGTTTGCGTGGAAGAAAGAAGATAACTTTGTAACATTCCCCAGCTTCATAAAAAATTTGCTATTTAAGATCAAAAGTCTCTAATATCCCTGATTCACACCATATATCATGTTTCATTGATTTCACTCCTGAATCCAATTAGCTTTAGCTGATGCCATTATCCTAAGGGTGCACATTCTCTTTACAACCTAGTCTCATTTATGTATTAGATACGGACAAGAACAATAGCGTGCAGGCAATTCGTGATTATGCGATAAAAAATAATTTGTGTCATTAAGAAAACAGGAAGAGTCTCAGCTCCCAGCTCAGACTCAGGAGACAGAAACTCCTAGCTCGACTTGTAAGTTGTTGTTTAAGACAAAAGGACACGCTTTGAGATGAATATGGTTGTGAATTTCCTCTAGATATAAAAAAATAAATACATTTATTCATAGCTTAGATTATGATCTGACTACCTTAAGACAAATTTGAACCTAAATCTGGATATTTTCCATTATTGTTGGCTAATTTTTCTGTATGATTAAACTCAACAGGAGCCTAACATTTTACCAAAGATCTTAATAGCAAAGCGGAGAGAGCTCACCCGCTTGTGTTGAGTTTGTGACTATAAACGTCGGTGCTTACACAGAGTGGAACTCATCTGCTTTCATTTTCTTGAACTCAAGCTTATCAGATGTGCATCAGATAAGGCTGAGTTTGCATGCCAGACATGAGATAAATGCAACTACCAGCCAATGCACGAGACACAAACAGTAATTTCTTAAAAAAGTACATATTTGTAAAAGTATATAGTGCTGAAATACACAGAGGTAAAAGCTAAAGCCATAACTGTCGTGTAATCCTCATTAGCAGTTTTTCAGTCTTGCCGGTGAGCCAAAACCCCAACCCGTGCATATGACAATTAGTGACTTCTTGTTTGTACCTTGGTAGCTGTACAGATCCCCCACGCTGGTCTGACGCGTGATGTGCTGCCAGTAGGCGCTGCGTGGCAGGGAGATGGACTTAGTTAGCGTCTCTCTGGAGTGGCTCTGGAACAGACAGAGAACGCATACGGGGTCTCTCACTTTTCTGTCACTCTCAGTCAGTCGCTCACAACAGGTGATATTGCTCTGCATAGTCAGTAAACAAACAGCATGGGTAATACAGCATATTAGAGACTGAATGGCATGTTTCTGCTATGAATGGCTGCGTGATGGGTGAGATGAACACTCGTTCGGGGTCCCCGTGTTGTTTTGCCAGGGAATGATGCGTTTTATATTTTTGCGTTCAACATGAAACCAAAGACTCCCGTCTAGAAAAAGCAGCTTGAAATACATTAAGTGTTGAAAAAAATATGGATTTACCCAGCAGTAAACATGCCATTTCCCCCATTCTGCTACATGAGCGGTCAGTTTTCTGTTGCTGAGCGTACATTTTATAGAGCTAAGGGTAGCTGCATTTGGAAATGTTCCCAAATGGTGGGGTCCAGGAGCATGACCATATGGTCAAGGCTCATCAAACACTAGGCAGGCCTACATAAATAAAGAATACAGACGATAGCGGGGAGGATGGGAGGAAGGAAGAAACGCACGGGATGATGTTGTGGTGGAAGGAGGAAACCGAGGCCAAGACGGCGGGGTGTCAGAGGGCTCCTGGTCCAAAGCAGCAATACAGTACCTAGAGAGAAATGTGTGTTGTGTGTGTGAAAATCATGACCTATTGCCTGCTTTCTGCAAAAAGCCTCAATGAAATGCTCCTCAGATCAGCCTCAAACAGGCAGGGAAAGAGCTGCAGAAATACCAGAGGAAGAAAGGTGTTTTATTAAATTACAGTAATATGTGTCTAAGTGTGTGCACAGATGGAGTCTTTGTGTTTCTTTTGGCATCAATTTCAGCAGGATGCTTTAACTACAGAAAGCGAAGCTCACTATGTTAGTGATACGTAATTATTTCGACAACAACTTCATGTTGATACCAGCATTGATTATTAGCCGCTTGTTATGCTGGCGGTACAAGAAGGCAGTTGTCGGGCTTATCAAGTGTGGCTGGTGGATATAAGATAAACAACAGAAGAGAGAGAGAGAAAAAAAAAGCACAAATGTACCTGGGAGCTCTTCTCCATCTCCTCCATCATCCTCTCATGCTGCTGGGCAATGGCCAGCGTGGCCGAGTGGACCCGCTGGTAGATCATCTCCCCCTCCCGCGTCTGGAACGTGAACAAACCCTCTCCTGTGTCACACATCCTGCGCCAGGAACACACACACAGAGACCCACTTTGATCGCGCTCACTCTCAGATTGCTGATCTACAAATATGCATGGCTGACTGTTCAGTTACAGAGAGAGAGACACTATAATAGCCCGCTGGAGTCAAACACATAAACACATGCGTGAGTAGATACAGTACACAAACACAGACACACGCTCACAGAGGCACCTGTCACATCGTCGCCTGAAGGGCTCTGTGGCAAATGCTGATATCCTGGGATGTTTCGGCTATCCGAAGTTGCTTTGTTGAAGTTTTTATAACCTTTCCAAAACTAAGTTTTTCACTCCCACTGCTAACATTTCAATCACACGTAAGACAACAGCAGGCATGAAATATTTGCATGCACGTACGCACACACGCACCTTCCGGACTCGAAAGTGAACCAGGTGGAGTCTCTGCCGTATCTGCGCAAGGAGCTGAGGGGCCACATGACGAGTTTGAGGCGAGCGTTGTGAATGTCCCACAGATAGATGTTTTCATGAGTGATCTGCATGGTGCACTCCCCGTAGATGTCCAGGTTGGGGGTGGGCATTAGGTACACGTTGAAGCGTTCTGAAACAATTCACAGCAGACTTACTTGAAGGTGGGATCCCACAGCGAAGAGTGCGGTTTAACTGAGCGTAGATGTGGGTTGTGTCATTCGCAACAGCAAATGGTGCTTTAGAGGGTGGATAAAATATAAGCCACATGAGGTGACTAGTCGGGGGCTGCGGTTTTGTTTAAATTTTAAAAAGGTTATGAATTATTATTATTGAAATATTGCAAGGTTACTGAACATGGCTTCTATCGCAGAAGTAGAGAAAAACTACGATGCAGAAGGCATTTTAAGCAGTACTTTACTGACTTCAACTGCAGTGGGTCTAACCGGCCATCCAGTGAGCTGCACCGGAATCAGTGAGCCAGATCTGCCCATTCATATTAAAGCATTTCTCTGAGGCAGGCAGACAGAGAGAGTCAGAGAGACAGTGTGGGGGGGGGAGTCCTCCATGATCTAAATTAGTTCTCACTAATTACACTTAATGATTCAAAATAAGCCATGAGTCTGCAGTGGATAGAGAATGGCAGTGTCATGGTGTGGCGTATTTTTAGGGACAGTGAAAATGAACTCTGATCTAATTATCAGCCCCTGCTGTTTGGGGAGGGCTACTAATTGAAATTGCAGGCTAAAGCCTTTTGTTTCATTCACTCAAAGAGGCAGCGGAGAGGTACGAGTTCAGTTAATCTCCATAACACTTTGCTGAAAGCTTTGTAGGAGCAACAAACAGCAGGATTTCTGCCACAGCTGAAGAGAGAGCGAGTGTTACAGTTCAACTGGCTCCCCACTCCCGGCACAGTCAAAACGTTTCGTATTGATACCGTAAACGAATGAAGCCAAGTTCATGTTGAGGAGTACAATTTCACTCTGCAGCCGCAACGGGATGTAATGGGTCGAAATGACGGCAGGTTCTTTTCAATTCCTCGCCCCCTTTTTTCGACTTTAAACTGCTCGTTTTTGCCTGTTGCCTTTTCGATTTCCTCCGCGACTTTACAAATTACACAGGGAATGAGTTCCACTGTGATAGCAGAGCCCTGTTGTCTCCTCTCTTTTCCATTTTCATTTCCTGTAAGTGGAATATGTGGGGAGGCACATTTTTTTCACATGGCTTTAGGAGCCATAATCTCATCCATCTCTGTGACAAGCTTCATTATGAGGGAAGCCAGTGATGCACAGCACTTCTCATTAGGCCTGGAACAGAGCCCCGGCCGCAGCCTGTGACTGACCTGTGCTCACACACACACACACACACACACACACACACACACACACACACACACACACACACACACACCCCCAAACATTCTTCTGAAGTCTTAAGTTGAACCCTTGTGTGTGCTAATGGAAGTATGGGCTGTAACATGGGACATCGAATCAGGTATTGGCAAAAAAAAAGAAAAAGGCCATTATTAGTCCGGCCTAATTGGACAGCGGCTGTTCTCCATTCACCTAACCCTCTGAGGTCTTAGTTGCTTTAACACATAAAGGCCTGGACTGCATCAGCTAACTGCTCGGTGGCAGGCTGAGTGAGCGAGATTGACCCTGAATGGCTGTCTGTGTTAGCCCCGTGTTAGCAGGGACTAATTGGGCACTCACCGTTCTGCTCCCGCTGCACCCCCGCTGCTAACAGGTCTGGCTCTCCCAGGCTGATGTCATTGAGACGGCTGCCCAGGCACTCCATGCACAGCAGCTTACACCATTCCTCTGCATCCAGCTCTGCACACAGCAGCACAGCATAAAGGAATGTCCACCATTAACCACACACATACACGACAACACATGCTGTACATGTTACACTACCATACAAAATAAACCATCCATGGAATTTCAGGAGTAATGCGTTACATGCACAAGGCAACAGTACAGCAAACAGTGAAAGGACTTGGGGGGGATCAGTCTGATTGATTTGGTGCAGATTAAAAAAGGCAGTGGATTCTGTCCAGATGAAGACGGGGTTTCTCCTCCATTATCTGCCAATACTCAGCTCTAAGGCTATAAAATATAAGTAGCACAGCTAAAACAATATGGCCAGAGTAAATCTGAAACTAGCGATAATCTACTCAGGTAATCAATAAGCTATTTCCCAAATTGGAGAAGGAATTTTGCTTGTTAGCTGGAAAGGAAATACATTAATTCAACTTTTTTTTTTTTAAAGTTTTATACTCTCTTTCCCTTCAGACATAGTTAGGGTGGATGTTTCCACCACGATAAGCAATCAAACATATAACCTGGCTATAGAGTCATATTTAGTGTAGAAAGGCAGTTTACAATCATTTTGCATTTTCCAAAATAAGGTTGTCAAAATTAGCATGAATATGTAACACATCAGATGGCTTTTACTTTGAAAAGGCTAATGGACCGCCCTGCAGTGCCTCTGATTGGGTTGTGTTTAGCAGGTTAAGTGGATGCATGACTCACAAGGAACAATAATTGGCTAGAGGAGTGAATCAGAGACGCAGCAGGTCCAGAGCCACAGAGTAAATGACTTTTTCCCTCGTGGTATTTTAATTTCCACTAAAGGAATAATTGCTGCTTTTTGTTCCATTTCATTGTTTTATACATGCAACATTCATCTTCTATATTCCTACATAAACAGTCCTTTAAAGTGCAAAATGTTTGGATTTGATTGAAATGCAACTCCAGGATCTCGTCTCTCTTTACAAGTGTGCACATGAGCACCTTAGTAACGTGACATTATTATTTTTTCCAAACCCTTGTTACTCCCTCTCTCAATGAGAAATTAAGAATGTATCCAAAATGCTGAAGTTAAGATTCGAGGGCTCTTTTTTTTACCATTTCTTTTTTATTTCATTCCTACAGAAAGCAAATTAAGGTACTGCTTTAAGTGCCGCTGAGGTTTTACACAGAATCATCTGATCCAATAACTCCCTGAAATGCTGTAATGAAGTGAGCTAACCAGCTGTATTCATATTTAATGTATAGGTGGTATTAATAGTCTCCAAAGGTGCCTTAGCAGGACACCTTTGGAGGCACACGGGGTTACGAGCCTTGTGTTGGGGCTTTAACTTCCAAATTTATGTTTAGTAACATAGAGCCACAGTGAATGAGCATTGTTGGCTAATTTTGAGAAATTTGGACAATTAGGACAATTATTGTTTCCTTCCAAAACAACAATCTTGGATTAAGGAAATGAGCTGCGTGGAAGAAGTTGCGCCTGCTACGGATGAAAGCCGGAAGCGAAGCAGAACATTTATTGTGAGACAGATTTTTTAATTTAAGGCTAAGTGGAAACAAATGATTTCATGAATCAAATCTGGAAGTCTGTGTGGCAGTGTGTTACGTGTGAATACCAATTTTCCTTCCTGTTAAGTCAGAAAAATTGTGTTTACAGTGCAGAAGATTTCCAATTGTCTTACATGAACGTTTGGTGAAAGTCACTGAAGTGCGAAATGAGGCAAACGCCAGAGTTGTTTATCTTTCTGAAGCTCCCTGGCCCTGGAGAGCACTGGGATTTGTAACTATGGCCACTCATGTGTACAGAGACACATGTGCAAGTGTGGGAATTCTACCATGTTTCTGTGTTTGCTTACGAAAAAATCCTCATGCACTCGTGTAAAATGCGAGAGAGCATTGGCGTGTCTTCCTGGCGTATTTGCCGCCATTGCAAGACAACCTGTTTGTCAGCTCAGCTCTGACAAGCATTGTCAATGGGACAGATCTACATTACTCTGCAGGGTGAAGGAAAGGTCTGCTGCTGCCTGGAGCGCTTCATTCACACATACAAAAAAGCGAAACTTTGGAGCCACACATTTACAGGCAGCACCAGCAGCTCTGAATTTGAGCTCTTTCCTCATGCCTCCCCAGATTCAGCTTTTCTCATTCAGTTGCCATGGCCTTCTTGGCCTCTAAACTCCCACACTTTTTAAGGCCAGTGAGTGGAAAATCAGCTAAGCAAACAGTTCATCAGCACAGAGGCAACCTCGCAACTCCATGTGCCATGCATGAAGAGATGTTGCGGGAGGATGTCTCAGTGTGGAGGTGTGCTGTGGAAAAGGATGGATGTGCTGGCAAGATGAAGCTGGAGTGACAGTATATGTAAGAATCAAATCAAAAGACAGTCGAGCTTTCTTTGTATTTCCTGTTTCGGGAGAAGGTGCCGTTATCCAGACAAATGCAAAATGTATATCCACTTGTATACGTGCTGTCAGGACCCATTCGGCTGTGGAATTTAAAGAGTTGGCACACTTGACAGGATTCTCATCTCTTCAGGTCATGCTCATCTCTCCTTATGTGCATATTTGTCAGATGCACCCAAAGCTGTCAGGAATTTTAAATGATTTTTCCTTTGTTCCATCCCGTGTTTCCTCAACAGCACACCAAACAACACGGTACTGCTTAGATGGAGGCATAAAATGGTTATTTTTAAAAAACTAAAATATCAAGAGAGCTTCATGAGACCTAATTATCTGCTTTTTCTCTTTGCTTTTAAAAAACAGTGAACATCCAATTATTGGCACATTTGTATGAATGCCTTAAGAAATGACTGCACTTTAAAAATGCCAGTTTTTAAATCCATACACTCACTGTTGTTGCACTGTAGAAAATAGGCAGCATGCCAAATTTAAATCTGATACAACCTGAACCTCTTATTTACAGGATGCCACATTTTTGCTAATTTCCACAAGTTTAACACTTGCGGATATCATGTGATGCAAGAGAAATGAAGGATATCAGATGTGGAAGGTTGATGGTCAAAAAAGGGGAAAAAGACACTCATACGGTGGTGTGAGAGGACTGATCTAGCAGAGGAGAGAGTTAAGATATGAGTTCACAACTCTCCATGTCATATGCGAATATCTCCAAATGCACACCTGCAAGAGTGGAGTTAAGATGTTAAGTAAGGTGCATCCACCTTACCTAACCCTCTGCTTTCAGCTTTGCACAAAAAACACATCCGTGTGCAGATCCAGAGCCTTCTTTGCTGTCTATCCACGTATTAGAAACAATCTGTATTGTTACAGTCTATAATTGAGTTGAAACACGCCGCAAATTATGCCCGATATCAGTTTTCATACCTGCACTATGAAAATCAATATTTCGGAACAGATCCTCCCACTTCTTAATATAGCGGCAAATGAGCATCACTTGGCTAAACTCCAGTTCTCCGCTGCCTCCCTCATCTCACTCATTCTATTTGTCTTTCTCCTTCAACCTCTCACTTCTCACTCTCCTTCCACTTCTCGTCAAACTTTTCAAAAAAACCACGTCGCCAGTCCTCACCTTACACCTACTGGCGTATTTATAAGAAATGACACTTGAAATTGGTGCTGTCCTTGCTCCGAAGTGGCTAGAGAAAAAAAAATAGTAATTTTGATTTTTACCTGATTCGCAGGCGAATGTCTTGGACGTGTCGTCACAGAAGATGATCGCCACAGCATGCTTTTTTGTCTCCCGTGGCATCCGGGTAATGTTCTTGATGTTATGGAGCTCAGTGATCTAAAAAGAGAGTGTGGCAGGAGGATATTGTCTTGAATGAACACAGCTACCAGCAGCAGCTGCAGCAGCATGGTTTAATTGCAGCCTTGCACAGCTTTGCTGAAATTGCAATAGCAGTTAGAGGCTTAGCATTAAAGGGGTGAATTAAAACAAAACAAAACAAAAAAGGGCGATGGGGGTGATCTTAAGGGATACATAAACAGAAGTAGTTATTCGGCTGATTACAAAAAGTATCTTAAAACAGAAAGAAATCACACGCAGTGTCAGCTTCCTGCATCATAAAGCCTGCTGCAGCGTGATGTGTAAAATGTAAGTATGTTATTTATTTTAAAGGCTCCCCTATGAATAAACATGACCCGGTGCTCTTTCGGTATACACAGCACATCTATTGTTCATCTCCTCAAAGCTGCCCTTCCAGTCAATAGACAGGAGCGCGATCATAAGCATCTAAATCACTTTACCAGGAGATTGATTGAGCAAATGAAAAAAAGACAAGATTACATTTAATTAAATATAAACCGCATTTACAGGCCATTTTGTTCAACAGTCTTCTCTGTGTTCACTCTGCCTAGTAGATAAGACCCATTACATTAGTGTAGTCCATTGTGTGCTAACTGTGGGCAGTTTGCCAGACTGTTGGGAATGAATTAGCTGGGCTCCCTGTATAGTACAGCTTGACTGTTAAAAGTTAAGGGACCAGACCTTAGACACACACAGGATATGTGGACTTGAGATTTCTGTTTGATAATATTAGATTTAATGCATTTGCCCCGAAATATTGAACTTCAACTGGAAATACAACAGATGAAGAAGTAAATCAGAGGCTACAATACTGAAAGATAAGAAGTGCTTTGTTTTTTGTCCCGTTTGTTTATTTTTCTTATCCCCTCTCAAAGATGGTATCTAAATATTTCATATGAGATACAGTATGAATTTGTCCTCGGGCAGGCAATTCATAACTGACACAAAGTAAGCGTCAACGCTGGGAATTTCTAAGCAGTGAATGTCACCAGCCTCTCATCTCTTTCTTTCCCTGTTTGTGTTTAGTGTGTAACTGCGCATGTTTTAGTCTTTATCTGTGTGATGCGTGTGTGAAATGAGAGATTTGGGTGCATTCCCAGCCTGAGGTGCTTTAGTCCAAGCATAGTGAATCATTTCTGATGAGACCTATTTCCTCTCCCATTCTTTCCTCTTCATCTTTATTCATGTTTAGCTTTCATGCATAGCAGACATGAGGTGGAAGAGAAATCTCATGTTTGGAAAACTGGAACCCAAGTCATACTAGTGGCTCAGTGTAGTCTAACTTGTATGCTAAATAAAAGGTACCATCTTCTCTAACTAGATTAGCCTACTAGCATGCTCATGTTTGCTAATTAGCATGAAACGTAAAGAGCAGCTGAGGTTAAAGAGAATGCAATTAGGTTTGCAGGTATTTTGAAGTTGAACTGTGAACTAAATTTAACAGAATTCCATCTAACAGCGGTCGACATGGGGTTAAAAGCTAGTTTTACAAGTGCCAGTGTTAGAGTAAAACAGCTGTTCTCCATCAAGTGGCTTCGTCTTCTAGCGGCTAACGATCTCTCCTGTTAAATCACAGTAAAGTACTGTTTATTGGTTTTCCAGCATGGAACTGTAATTTTACAGTGTTTCTGCTATAATCTAAAGCAGCAGTTTCCTATTGTGAAAATAATAAACAATAAAGTAACCAATGTTGGCTGGTTGAATATATTACTGCTGGCTCTCTTTCTGCAGTGTCCAAAGTGAGATTATTAATGTAAACTGTATTGCAGTTGTACATTGCTCTAAAAAATAAATTCTTATTCTAAACATGTACTTGATCTTCAAGTCCTCATCCACCTGAATATACAGTACTGTGCAAAACAGGGAAGACTGTTTGTCATTTGAGCCACCCCTCATTTCTTTATATTTTGCTAGAAAAATGAACAACTGATGCTGTGATTTATTGAAACATTTGCAGCAAAATAAAAATATAAGACAAAAATAAGAGTTTATGCAGGTTTAACAAGCTTGACAGTCAATATTTGTTATGACCACCTTTGATCAACACAGTCTGAAACATTATTGTGATTTCTTTAGGTAGTCTTCAGAAATACCTCCTTGGGCTTTGAGGTTCTGCCTCTGGGGAGCCCAATCCATGACAGATAGTGTTCCCTTGTGTGTTTAGGTCAGCTTTTCTCATTTTTTACTCATTGTCAAGGACCCATCTACTGAGACCACTTCTGATGAGACCTTGGGTAATAGTATATGGATCAACTGAAGGTCCAGAGCATCTCTCAGGTCCTGCGTCAGATCTTTACTCTATTTTTTTGCGGTTTCATAAGGACAAGATTTTCAGTTCATCTTCTGTCAATAGATTTTTAGATCTGCCACTTCTTTTGTTGTCCTCTTGTCCACTTTCCCTACATTTTAAAAGAAAAAACTGCATGCCATGCTGACAAATATGCTAGGTTTTTAGCTAATAGCTCTTTGGAAAACAACTTGATGGTGTAAACATACAATTTTATCCCTTTCATAGCATGCTATGTGTTGCATTTTTCATAGTTTAAGCTAAAAAAAAAACCCCACCTTCAGATACCTTGGAGAACTAGTGCTCAAGACAAGAACGGCTGGCTCCTTGGAAGTAAAATATAAAGAAAGGATGTGTGGCCCAAGACATTTGACTACAAAAAGATCATCTTGTGGTATTTGCTC